ATACTTTCGTACATAAATGTTTACGGATTAAGGCAATAACGTGTTCCTGTCACTGTATGTGATCATTTCAATGTTTGAACTGATTTTTTTGGTCCTGGTCAATGATGTTGTTCTAATATATCATGGAACCGTGGTCTACTTAAACCAGACTACTAAAAACAAGGAGACGGTGCGATTTCGCCGTTTAAATCCGGAGAATTGACAGAATGAAAAGTTTTTAACAAAAACATGATCCACTGCATTTTATAATGAACATAGCTTATACAACTTTTACAGTGATCACTGACATCGACATGCACTCATAGCAATCCTTGTCGCCTTAAGTCCTCGTAGGTCTTCTTATTCACGACGTTGCCCTGGGTATCTTCATATTCTTCGTCCACCTCAGGCTTGAACCGTTCTTGATCCTTCTGTTCACGTAGCTTCGCCCACACTAAACGAGAACTTGAAGACGACGAACGAAATAAAACAGCAAAAGGCTACGTTCAAGGGCATCCGCGATTTGTGTAATGTTTGCGAAATGAGCCGTGTTAGGAATACCCAAGCAACGCATTCCATGGGCGTGTCTCCACTCCTAAAAATCCAGATATAAACAACAAGAATGATGAACAGTCGTTACCGAAAAATGCCGCTGGAACGCCTTGGGACCCTTGTAAATTTGGTTTCCGCAAATTTCGCATGGGAAACTTATGTTCAGCCCATGCAGTTTATACAGCCAGTAAGGTATAGGCTAAAATAAAATATAAATACATCGTAGTGGGACAGGTCGGTTAAATGAGCAAACAATTTACTAACAGTAACTTCACCAATAAGGTGCAATCCGTGCAACGCACTCCTTAAATATGCTGAGATGTTTTTTACTCAAACACTGCACCTTAAAATTAACAAAAAAATTATGAATATGAATAAAAACAGCTTTGCAGCAAGTTACCTGTCACTGTTCCAGAAGACACGCCATAAATTATCTTTGTCCATATCATTTACTGTGATGAATAATGCCTGAAACTATGCACAACATTTTCGATCCCCTCCGACCTGGGTAAAAACGTACTCGGTAGGGTGGTTAGTGACATTGGACGGGCAGAAAATCGGTGACCATCAAACAGGCACAAATTCTGCTTGATGAGATCCTTGTACAGCTAGGCTGCGAAACTCAGTATTTTGTGGATAGGGAAATGGGAGGTATAATGCTTATGCTTAAAGCCTGTTATCGATATTCATCTAAGATACATAGATATCGCTTGTGGTAACTGGACCGGCCGGTATTCGGCAACGAATCGCGCGGGTCCCAAAATTTTGTGTTGTTATACACATGGACGTGTAATGCTAAAATACCATGAAGTCGCGGTCAACTTCAAGTGACCCTAGTGGGTACTGCGGGTACTGGGAGCAAAGGACGATGCAAAACCATCGTGTAAATTCGGAGAGTGAAAGGACATTATTTCGTACCGGCGATGCCGAAAGCTGCAAGTTTGCTAGCAACTTAAAATACCGGGGTTGATTTTTTTTAAATTATTGAACGCGCTTTAATAAATGCATGTGGGACACCAGCTTAAACGTAGGCAGTGATCCATCACTCAATGGACTAACATTGTTTGCTTTGTGTGCAAATAAGCCGTTTTATGCCGTATTTCACCATGAACGCAGGGACTAGGTTTTGCCTAGTCATCCAGTGTCTAGATGAGAACACAGAATCCTAATCTAAGATGATAATTTAACTTTCTACAACACGAACAGAACTTCTGACCTTGCCATCCCAACCAAGGGGTAAATTTTTCGGATTATATGGAATTTCGTCTTCGTCCTCATCTTCCGAAGGTGCGGCTGGTATTTCTTCATCTTCATCGTCCTCGCCGTATGAACGCGCTTGCTTGCGCTCAACGTTTTCCTTCGTGGCAGTTCTCATATCCTGAAAGGACGTTCGATTAACAGAGGATACAGAAACGTTGTAAAAAACTATAAGTACCGAAACCAATTCAGCCAGATGGTAAACTTGCGCTTCGATCATCGCTACCTCCTTTGACTTTTCTGAGTGCCACTTGTCTTTCATAGCTGTTTTCGACGATTTCGAGAACAGCGATTGGTCCAGATCTTCTTTTCGCTTCCCCTTCGTTTCAAATAGCCTCTGTGCTCGTTCTTGCAGAGTCCTGCAGTAACAAATTTGCAGAGTCAAGAATCAGACTTCAAGAAGATGTTTCGCTTTGACAACAAAGATTTTACCTGCACAAAATGCAATCTTCATGCCAATGGGCTAGATGGCAACGTTGAACAAAAAAACAGTATACAAAAAAATCTACAGTCTGTCAATGTGAATGCTGTGACGCGAGGCTCCGAACAACGAGTTGTATTTGCCATTCCGAATCTCTCAAAGACCTGGAGATGAAAGGTAGCACTGATATGCGGTAGAGTGTGTCCGATGATGGCATTTACTGCGCCTCTTGTTTAAGGATGGTTCTGGCAGTAGATGATGTTGTTTGTTGGTCGGGTCGTCACTCGACAAGGTTTTCAAAAACCGCATGGTTGCTTCGATGACTATGGAAGCTATGTGGTAGCAAAACCCCGTTCGATCAGTCTTGCTGACAGGATTGATCAGCAAAGATGGCGAAGAATGGCATAGTGTTTCTTCAGGAGACTGGAATAAGTTATTAGCGGCAGCAAGTAGCTGAAAAGAAACAATCGGACCATCTTGCTCGATGGTACAGCAGAGAATCTCAACAGTCTGAGCAGGTAAGAAAAACCCTTGCTCACTTTCGTGAACACTGATGCGACATGGTCGGCTCACTTTAGCCGATCGTTCAAGTACATGGCCAGATACTTAACAATGAGAGCATCAGTAATGCGTTCATTTGCCATTGCCACTGCTGATAATCTTACAGATTTTGGTGTTTTTCACGACGCAGGTCAAGTGGACAATTTTTTTCTGATTGATTTCTAGGCCGCAGTTTTGAACCCATTCAGCAGTTTAGTTCAATGCGCTCTGTGGCGCTGCTGAATGCTGCGTGCTTTCGCTGGGCGTGATTATTACTAGACAATTCGTCGGTATGTCTAACAGATGAAGTGGGCAAGAGACTTGAATCGCGCTGACGTGGAACAATGGAGATAACACTGATTCTCGAAGAACTCCAAGGCTTTTATAACATAGAGAAAGAACAGCGATTGCCATTAGCAATAAAATGTAACCTGTCCGTCATCCACTGGGAAAAAATGGAGAAAACTGCCAATTTTATGTCGAAGACAGAACAACACACCTTGCGGAATGATGATGAATGCCGATGATACGTAAATAAACAAGGCTGTAGCCGTCAAGCAACCTGATTCTAAAGTTTAGGCAAGGAGGTCAGTGCAATAGGCGATGGTGTCCGATGGAACGGCCTTTCGTAAAACCGAACTCTAAACTGTCTTTTTCACCTACTGACTGTTCTTCAGTGACAGGTTTTATTAGGATTTCGAGCCCTTTCAACATAATGGAATTAATGCATAATCCTCAGGATTAGTTGGTATCAGTATCTTTGGGTGTCTATTACTATTATCCAATCAAGGCCAGAGGCAAAGTTTTGCTTCAGGGAAACCAGGGACCATTTTAGCATAGCTTCGTTAAAGCCAATGAGCTGCTTGGATTAGAGAGGGCTGATTAATTCATAATATGATGGCTTAGCCTCCTCTGCAAAGTCAAGTTCAAACTGCACCATATAAAAGCATTCAAATCTTCTGGCGGTTTGGTTTTTGAAGACCTATATCCACCAAAATGGCGAACAGTTACCCAGAATTCTTTGGACATTTTACAAGACAGTTGGTTATTAAAGTACAGATTTCGGATATTCAGGATTTCCTGCTGAATTTGATCTCAAATCAGCTTGCACTGAGTTAGATCTCCAGAACGGTTTGCAGTTTCCTTCGGAAGAAGTGAGCGATGATAAATTTAAGGGTGACCATTACCTGATGGTGTTAGCATAAGCAATTGCGCATGAACTTGATGTAATCGCTGATAGTCGCTATCAATTCGTCCAGAGAGCTGCCGTCGGATTCTGAGCATTCGATAGGTTCAAACGTTGCTTTAATTTGATCGACTTCATCTGGACAGAATAGTCGTAAACGAATGTCTTTGGAGCATAACAGCTTTTATCTAGTTTACTGTAAGTCATAGGTACTAGTCTTATAGTGCAATAATCAAAACCTGCAATCGGAACCATCCGTTGGACACCGAAGACTGAGGGCTGGTTTATGAACGCATTATCTCACTGCTGTGACAGTCGCGTTGGAAAATCAACGATGTTACATTCCAAGTGAAGTGAACAGCGGTACGCTGTGACTGTTGAGGTCGCCTGCTTTAACACACAACGTGGTCCAGATGTTCAAAGACGTTGACAACAAAAACCCAAAAAAGATGCCAATCTCGGTGTCGGTACAAGAGGGAGCAACGTAAATATTCGTCAGGACGGCACTGGAGCATGCTATCGCTAATGGAACAAAACAATGGAGAACGAGATTCTGTACGCCCATTGATGAGAGCCTGAGTAGCACTTCAATTCGCGATGATGGGCACCAGTTGCTGCTGATCCAAACTGCTACAAAACTACAACAAGATTTAAAATTGTCTGCGGCGCAACAACGATCGCTCCAGTACGTCCGATGGTCATTGAAAATAAAAGCTACAACACCAATGGCCTCCTGAAGCCACGACTCCTGAATCAACTAGGTGAATGGTGCTGGCTCATTGGGGGCATCCTCCATCACTTGCTGAAATTCATCTAGCTGGTTGTCACAATACTGAATATTTGCAGACAACACAGATGGGAGGACTAACATCCCTTGGCGACATTTTTCGGTCAGTTTTCTTCCAGGCGATTGTCTTTCCTCTGTAACATAGATGGCGATTAAATAAACCATAGCTTTCGTGTTGTTGTTTCGTAACCTTGTCAATGTGTCTCACTGGTGGGGCACGTCGAAGAGCGAAGAGCTTATCGCGTGAGAACTATCGAAGGTTCATGGCAGTAAGACAAGTCGCCTGTCAAACAACCAAATTATTTACAAGTATGGATAGTTGTAAACACCACTTATACTGTAGCTGCCGTCAAGCGTCCGTCATACGCAGAGAGCCTCAGACGAAGTAAACGAACAACCGACCGCACACGACGTCAACCCGGTCATTATAAACCATTACAAACAACATAACAACATACCCTCCACATTTCAGTCCGAGGAACAACAGCGCAGACTTCAGACGGTCCAAACCCAACGACATCAATTCGTCTGCGCTGGTGAACGGTGTCAAATCCAAGTAGGCTCCGGTGTGCGACATCGCGCTTGAAGACTCTTTCGGCCAACCAGGAAACGTGCCGTCTTCCCATTTTTTCTGGAAATTTTGAATCGCGTTCGATAGTTCCTGAAACGGAGTTAAGAATACTAGGCAAAACCGTTTAAACTTTAAAGTTATGACATTAATTAGACAAATGTAGAAAATATCTCATGCTTTTCAAAAGTATGATTTAAAGAAACTGCTAAGAATTGTTTCAGCCAGAAAATGAAAAAAAAATCATAAAAATAAGTAAATTTGAGCAGTAGCGGTAGTAATCGGTTTGTTCTCATACCTTACCCATCAATGTAAGTAAGTAAATAGTCGGTAAGTTCTTTAACAACACTGTGTTTCCGCAACAAAGTATTAACTACGCTGAGATGCAGCGTGGCGAAAAGATAGAAAATCGACGGTCTAAAAACAGCGTGGACACTGTGGTATTTTCAGATGGCCATGACATCCCAACTGCCTCTCCAACTGATAACTGACGTCATTTTCAGCATATGATAAGGACCATAAATTAACTAAAGAATTAGACAAACAAATTAAAGCAGTTACTCAGACACGTTGAAACGTAAACCCTATGCCTGAAACCCACACATAAGCCACAGACTATACAGTGCACCGTGGAAAGATGCATGTAGGGGAAAACAGTAAAAGAAAGACGAATGAGTAAGGGCACAAACAAGTGTCTTTCATGTCATTACCTGAATCAGGTGGTTAAATTGCAATGGGCTGGACAAGTTGCAAAAAACTACCATCGTTGGACCAGAGAAACATTATACTGGGTTCCAAAAGATACTAAACGCCCGCAGGAAGACGTTGCAATCGAAGGCAGGATAGATCGTTGGATCAAGATGGATAAGAATCACGGAAAACAAATGTTTATGGCAAACTTCGAGACGTTCATCCAGCAACGGATCAGAAAAGGCTGAGAGTGACGTTAGGTCCACTAATCAATACGCTCAGGCGATCATCCCATGCCAAACGATACTTAATCCATACGTCACAATTGTGCATAAATTCCAGGTTGCATATCATCAGCGTAGTACCTCATTGAGATCCATCAAAGGCTTAACTCGTGACAAAATATCCGCTAGATATTCCAGCAGCGTTTCCACATACTTCTTATAATCAGCCGTTTTGTGTTCTCTTGGTATTTCGTACAAATGTTCGAAAATTCCCAAATACGTTATGTAATCCACTCTCTAAAAAGAAACAAAAATATGTCAATAAAATAATAAACATTTCACGCAAAAGCATGAGTCGTTACCTCGACACCTTTCAGATTAATGTACTTCTCAAAGCATTCGTGGAGGTCCAAGTAGCGACCATAACCTTCTTCGTCAGTGAATTCCACCAAATCGGTCTCGATACTGAAACAAAGCATTAACAACATCTGTATTTGTCTGAACTTGCCCAAGCAGGAGAATATCGAGTAATGATCAAAATTATCAACGAACAATTCACAATTGTATCCACAGCTTCTCTCTAAAGGTCTTGATTGACACTGGAGCGCTTTAGAATCTAAACATGCAAAACTTGCCCGAATGACAAAGACCGGAATCTTTTGAAAAGCCACCTGACGCCATTAAACACTGCGCAAGTCAAATGGAAATGAACGCATAAGTGCTGAGTTTAAAATTAACATGTTTATTCAATAGGCACCTGATATAATGAAGAAAGAAATAAAAGCTCTTTCCGTTGCCCTTCCGTAAGTAAGAAAAATACAGTACATAGGCAACGTTATTTGCTCTGTTTTAAACTCGTCCCGTTATTCTCACTTTAACGAACGATTGCTTCATTTATTTTCACAGCTCGTAATTCCCTTCAAGTTGAGTGGAAAACGCTTTGAGTTTCTAAGGCAGCACAGATAAACTGTATTTAGAAAATAACGCAAGGAAAAGTGATCTCTTCCTTTCGCATAAAAAAATAGTTTGCTATTAGGCTTAAAAGGGGCTAGCTGAATTATTCCCTATTAACTCCGTCAGAAATATACGCTGTGGCCATTGCTACTCAGCAGTTTTCGACCTGCTGTTGGAAATAATACTGATCTGAGCAAAAAATACGTCTAATTAAACAAAAAATGCCCAGTTAAAAAAATGCGACCAGATACGTGAGTAAGCAGGTGCTACTCTACATAGGATATTTGACAGTAAAGGAAGCGAACTTCGCCAACTGACGACTTTCGTAAGTAACACCGTTTCTAAACATTCTCTTCTTTAGCGTTCAGATATGAAATGTGATGTATAATTCGTCATTATGCAATAGGAATATAGAGAAACGGTAAGGGAACCAGCCAATGTAAATACCTCGGCTCTATCATCAACAGCACTTCCGATTAAATATAAATAAATGTATAGACAATGTGGATAACATATATCATCAACTGACCAATGTCTGGGCAGCGAAATGAATATCTATTCCGCAAAACTTTGCCTTTACGTTGTTTAGACCATTGCATTGCTGCTATAAGAAGCAGAAACTGTCACTGCAACGAAATGCCAAACAACGCCTGAAGAGGGTACAACAATGTTGTAAGACTCAATGTATAACGGTTTTAAAGGGCAGAACAATTTAAAATGACTCATCTGTTGCGGACACATGTGCTTTCTGTAATCTGAAGATTAAGAAATGAAAGTCTGTTGAGCAAGACGAACTTCGTTGTGCCTGCAAACTTATAATGGAACCAAAAGATGGCTGACGTCGACCATGAGACCAGCATGCATGCACTTATTAAGAAATTGTTCCTCACACAATGCAGTAACTGGTGACATATAGCGGAAGCATTAAGAAACGCTGAGAATCCAACAAACCTCATAGCAGACATACTGCCCTGGCTTACAATGATGATCAAAACAAACACGCTAGCTGTCGTTTTATCTCTATCATTCAAGCTAAAAAACAGAAATCAATTTAAAATTACACTTAAATAGTAAATAAATTATTAAAACTCATTACTTTAAACAATAATAAAAGGAAAGAATTGTACTCGA